CCACATACCTTGCCAGCCAATTTCGGCAGACAGACTGGACAAGATTCTTGTACTCTATTTCTGGAATATTTCTCTGAGGGGAAAGGAAATGGACACAGCTCATTGGGAATCCCCCACCCCTCCCTACAATTATCTCCCTTCCATTCTCCATGCACACACCCTAAACACCATGATCTGGGGGCTGGCAGAGAACAACCCACCTGAGATGACCAGTGATCTGTAACCCAAGGTCTCCTGAACCAAGATGATATTGCCACAGTGACTCTCTCCTATGTTCTTTGTATCTGTTGGGGAGTTGCCTCCCTGTAGGAACAAAACCAATACTTAGCAGGCCAGCTTATATAATCAAAGATGGCAGAACACTTCACCCTGAAGCAAATGAAGGGGGACTGTGACCTCTACACCAGATGGGCATTCTCCATGTCTTGTATGTCTGTTGGGAGAAAGGAAAGGGCCTCCAAGCTTAGGTAGAGAATTGCCCCTACACATTTTCCTGGCTGTGGGCACCTCTTCTGATTTTGAGTAAGGTGGAGCTAAACTGCGTGTAGGAATCCTTGAACCATTAAAGGTAACATACCGGTAATTACACCCAAAATACTATCCTGATTAAGTTCCGGATGATAAACTTCAGAACAACAGAAGACTGAAGAGTAAAGTCCTGTGGCAAGGTGTTAGCAGGACAGTGCATGGATGCCAGCTATACTCATAGGAAGATACAATCCTATTAGTGAGCAATTTTTCATAGACCCTGTGTTCAGCAGCACATTCACCAGTCCCTTTTCCTAGTAATTAGGCTTAGCCAGGGCATGGGTTCTGCATTTTTTCAGAGCTCAGAGGATTACAGTAAAGAGGTCAATGTGACAAGTCAAAGGTAACAGATTATTATGTACTGAGTGCGGAGTTCCCAGGCGGAAACATCAATTATACAATTACACTCATCATTCAAAATTTCCCCACTGCAGCAATTTAGATATTGAAGTCTGTCCCATGTGATTATAATTATACACTGTAATGAAAGCTTCCACTAATCCCTGCTAAGGGAGTATCAGGAAGTTTGCATGCAAACTACGTAGTGTTAGATGCGTGGAGGGTGGGGGGAAGGGGAGGAAAAAGGTGTGGAGTCATTCCTCATTCAGTCATTGTGTAACTGCAGACTGTAGAAGTGGAATTTGATGCTGCCATCTCGTGTTTCCATGCAGAATAACATTCCAAATCGAACACTAAAATTTAACTACAATACCACCTCCAGAACAGGCTTGATTTATCCTGGAGCTCAAGTTCAGGTAACAGTGGGAGTGTCTACACATTCATTAATACACCTTTGCTACTGCACATTAAGTTTAGTACCACTAATATAAGGTACTAGATAAAGGCACAATATCTGCGCCAATTCACAGTAGCAAAAGTGAATTTTTTTTGTGACAATGCACAGTAGACTAATTCTACAGCACATTAGCATGGTTTTTGCTGTGATGCACAGTAAAACAGTCCACTGCACATTAAAGTGTTTTATGCCAGTCAGTGGCTGGAGAACACTAAGGTCTGGTGCGAGGGAGTGGGGAAGATGTGTGTGTGGATTCTGTGAGCAGGAAGTCTGTGAGCACCGCAAGGGAGACACCTTATATTTAAGTTGCAAACAAAATGAGAAACTTTAATTACCTTATTGAACACTGCTTCACTCTGATCAAGGCATATAATAAGGGAACACTTCTGGTAACTTTCCTCAGTCTGAGTAGCATCTCACTCTGAAAGCTGTCCCATCAAAATGAATACCTTCCTCCACTAATGAAGATGAAGGTTTCCATGATAAGATTTTTTTTTTTTAGGGCTACAGTTTGTCCTTGTTCATTCATTCGAAGCATGGCTGCTTGGAGGGTATAGTGCTTTGAAACAAGCAAGCAGAGCTCTCTTTACTGAGAGACTTGTGCAGTCAATATGGGCTGACTGTTGTCTCTTTAAAACGTGGTGTCTCGCTTTTACTCCCTGCAGCAGAATGTTTTTCCAGCTGTCTTTCATGCAGGGCTAAAATGAAAATGACTTCACTGTGATCAGCACAGTCAAATGAAGAAGATTCTGGTAACTTTCCTCACACTGGGCACATCTACACATGCCCCCATGGTGCTGTTGTCACTGTGCTGTCACTTGCTACTTCCTTTACAAAGTACTAAATGACAGTGCAGTAACAGCTGTTACTGCGCCGTTCTGATGGCACATGGTTATTTTTAATTGCTACATCACCATAGCAATGCACTATAATGAGGGAGCACATCACAACGGTCATGTAGCTGCAGCATCATGTTTGTGTCTGGTGAACCTATGTTGCTGTAGTGCATTGCTACGGCAATGTAGCATCACGTGTAGACGTGCCCATTGAGTAGCATCATACCCTGAGAGCTCTCCCATGGAAATCAAGGACACGAAATCACTCTTTTTAACCTTCCTTAAGGGGTTTTAGGTCAGGATCCCCAAAATAACTTAAAGCATCCAAAAATTGCTTGGCCTTTTAGAATATATTGGCTTATGATCTTTGCCTTATGCTTCCTGATGGGTGCAGTGAGGCTGCCAGAAAGGGGAGTCACTGGGGCAGAAAAAGGGGTTATAGAACAAAATTTGTAAAATGTAATAAGTTGAATGGGCCATGGATAATCAGAGACATGAAAACTACATGGTAAATGTCCTATACAGACACTTGAGGACACAAATTGTGAAGAGCTGTAACATGTCCATTTGAAGGAAAACATGTGCCAGGGTAGCAGTATAATACAATACATGTAACTTCATAGAAAATATCTCCTCTGGTATTTAACTCTACTGGGTGAGAAACTATAAAGCATAGTACTCTAGGACAGGCAGATTTTGGATTCCTAAAGCTTAATGCTAAACTGAAAACAACAAGGAGAATGGCAATCAAAAATGCTACAAATACAGTCTTGCTGCTTCCTTTTTTAAAGCATTTACAAGCTTGGAAAACATTTTTTGGCTGAGAAGCAAACAGTTCACTAACAATCACACTCAGACCAACTCCTTCAGAGGGCACAGGATGCTTTTCCCATACCAAATCAACCATCCGTGTGCAGAACAAGAAAGAACAAAGTTTGTCTCCAAGAGAAGTACACCATGCATTTCCAATGCAGTAGGTTGCTTTGGAGGTTAACACAATGGCAGCGGCCACTAGCAGACTCCAAAGTCTTTGAGACAGCATGATTTAATTTTCTGTAGGTTAATATATATAACTACAAAGTTAATCTCTCTCATGAATACTGTGCACATATTCAACAGGCCCACTGAGGCAGAGAGGGCAGAGCACAATTCTATAAAAACAAGCTTTGTTGCTGGAATAACGCATTCTTGTTCTCTGACTATTCTTTTTCCAGGTACTTCTCTCAGGTTTATTCCCAGGATGTCCAGGAACTAAGGGTATTTGTAAATGTGCTCTGGGAGTTGTGGGGGGTGGGGAAGGGGGGCACTTTAATTAGAATGGCTCTCTGAACTGCTCTAATTTAAGCACTTGGAGTATCCCATGCATCAGTGCCCCTGTGGTTAAAAATGGTGTTGGGGGCACTTTAACTAAAGCTCGATGTTCATGTATAGGCATCCTAATAGCTTCAGCTCAAGATCAGTGAAGCCAAAGGACTGTCAGCTTCACTGGACTTTGGGGCATGCCCCACAAAAATTTTGTCTTCCAAATACAGGAGGCCTTGCATTTTCCAGCTCTTCCTTTATTTATGCCATTTAAGGGTCCAATCAGAACTTCCTAGGCTTTAAATGCTGGAAGCTGCACGTGGGAGAGGAACAGGTGAAAAAACCCTGACCATACCCAGTTTACTCTCCCTTTCAGCACTCACTCTCTGCCATTGTGTGACACAGGATACTGAGCAAGATGGACCAATGGTCTGACACAATAAATGGCAGTTCTCATGTTCTAAGGAGAATTTTTTTCCTATGATTATTAACATCTTTCCATTGAGTCATAAGGATACTGCTATCATGGAAAGGTGAATGGGAAGAGCTAGTCCCTCTTTTCAACAGTGAAGGCAGGAGAGGGGGTTTTCTGAGCAGGAGTGAATAAAGAGTGTCTAAATTTGTAGGTCCTTGCCATCATAAGCCCATATGAGAATGTATCAGGAGAAAATGGCCAGGCTTTGAAAATCAAGGCAATGCATCTCCCTTTCCTTTGTCTGGGAGTTGCCTGCTTGGAGTGTAATCTTCTTGGAGGAGGGCACTGTACTGTTTGCATCTCTGTAATGTGCCAAAATAATGGTAGGAGCTGAATAAATATGATGGTGATAGGGTATAGGGACAAAACTGTGATAGTATGGCTGAACATATGCGCTACCAAATTTTCCTCTGCTCGACTCAGAAATCACTCTGCTTCCCTAAAACTGGAGGGAAGAAGTTAACCGTAGCTATTTTGGGCAGTGAGGGCTTTGACAGTCAGGAAACAGCTAGGCCTTTGCTCCTATATTAATCTGTAGTTTATCTCCGCCTCCCAGCCAAGGAAGCAGGAGATGCTCATGCTGCAGACATCAGGGTAGTCATCAGTACAGGATCCTGCCCCAATAACAGGGGCCCCATACACATCAGCTCACTCAGCCTCCTCCCCAGAAAACCAAGCAATAAGATCTGCACAGTCCAATAAAGAACTGGGCAGCCATTAGGTCAGGCTTCAGCACGTTGCTACAACCGAGAAACTTAGGATGTGCACTCTTTTCTGACCAGCTGCTGTTTTAATTCTATGAGGGAGTGCAGGTAAGTTAGAATTGGTCAAAAATTTTCATTTAAACAATTTTTCAATGAAAACAGGCCTTTTCTTACCCCCCCCCCCCAAAAGCCCCAAAGAAAGAACCAAACATTTGAATGGAATGCGTTTTATAAAGACATTTTCTAATTTTTGGATGGAAAAACAAAATACATTTGGTTTTTTAAAACCAAAAAACCCTTCTCCTTTGCACTGTACCTCGTCTCTCCTCCCCTCCCTCCCACCCCAATCTTTTTTTGGTGACACAATGGAAAAAAAGTAGTAGTGCTGGGAACTCTCCCATACTGGGCTTTTGGTTAAAAAAATCCAAAAATAGTCACAAAACCACCTTGCCATTTTTCAACCCTTTTAGTGTTGGTTTTGTCTCCTTAGTTCTCTGGGGCAGGATCCTTATGACCCTTTGCCACTCTGTACATTTTTGGTGCTAAATAAATAAAAGGGATGTCAACCACAGTAAGTCCACAGAATTGGAGACATCAGGAATTTTCCAGGTCAGTGTTCTCATAATACAGAGGCATGAGATCATCATCCAATGGCACCTCCTCCCCATAGGGCCAAAGCTCTGTAGAAGCCCCTCTCTCACAATTGTTTACAACATTTCCCTTGTTCCAGGCATGGCAACTTCTCTGATCAGGGATGTCAAAACTTTTCTGTATGTGTCCAGAACCATTTGGGCAGAAGGCCTTTCCACTGGGTTGTTCTTCTTGCACTCCATGTGGACGTCAAACAAATGCAGCCTGACAATATCACTGCCTTCAATATGCCCCAACAAGAAATTGGAGACATCAGGAATTTTCCATATGTCTGTTTTCTCGTCATATGGAGGCATGAGGTCATCATCAAATGGCACTTCCTCCCCATATGGCCAAAGCTGTTCAGGAGCTACAAACTCACCCCGGAGTTCCTGATGGCCACACTTTACCAGTCTGCCAGCACTCCGGTTCACAAGAGGCAAGGCATCCAAATCATTCACCACAATATGAAAGTCACTCGTCAGCAAATATTGTGACAGCACCTTATCCAGGTCGTTGGAATCGCACATCACTAAGGTGCCCAAGGGACTGTTGTGCAAATAGTGAAGGATTCTCACATAGTCTATGGCAAGTATGAATCTATGATGCCATGTATTCAAGCCCTTATACTTGGGGAGGTCCAATGTTTCGTTCAGACTCTTCAGGGAGCCTAGTGGGTGATACTCTGTTAGGATTGTGTACTGCTCTTTGCAATAGCCAAGCAATTTCACAACATGCTTGCTCTGTAGAGCTTTTAGCATCTTCAATCCATGGAGAAAGTCATTCTCCAGCTCTGAGTTGGTGAGTTGTGAAAGGGCAACTTTGCTTTCCTTCCACTCTGAAAGAAAGACCTAAAAACAAAACAGGAAATGAACAAAACACTGAAAGCCTTCTGCTGTAGACCAGTTTGTTTATCCTCCAAGTGACTACATAGCATTGCAAGTTATATATTCACTAGACACTGTGCTATTATATGCACAAGTTCCATAAATAGAAACTAGACACTGACTGCTAACAGCTACTATGTGAACACATGTGTACGTCTATATGTTACGGTGGAGTTACTACCTATTCACTCCTGATACTGTAATTACAGCATAGCAGTATTCACTGATTGGTTGGGTGACCTTTGTGAGCATATGACATGGATTAAATGCAAAACATTTAATTTGACTGCCCACAAAACACAATTTAAGAGCATAGGACTGGAAAGAGACCTCTTGAGCCATTGAAGTCCAGTCCCCTTCACTCACAGACAATCATTAATCCAAGAAATCCCCAAAATTGTTGTTTCAAACCCTCCCTCACAACTACCAGGGACAATACCCAAAACATCAAGTACATCTTTTAATATTTCCTATGTAAAAGCAGAGGAGATGAAGGTACTGCATATGTCCTGAGACTACAATGACTGGGAAGTAGTTGGTTAATATATACTCAGAAGATCCTAGGAAAATACCTATGGCCCCCACACCAGAGAAAGGCAACTCCCCTCCCTTCCCTGTCCATGCCAACCCAACTTAGAAGGAACATTTCTTCCTGACCCCAAATATGATCAAGTATGTCCCCTAACAGAAAAACAAGACCCCCTAGCCAGCAACCTCTAGTTTTCCTAAGTAACAGCAAGAACATCAGTACACTTCTGTCAAAAACCCTCAGCCTTAACTGTGGCCAACATCCCAATGCCTTAGAGAATGGCAAGGTCTCTATCCTCCAGGAGTCAGTAGCATTCATCAGGGTAAAAATTACCAAACACTTTCCCCATCACAAGAGAGTATCTTCCATATGCCAACATGAGGATTGCAAACTCAGTCTGCTTCCTATGCTGCCATGCTTATGCATGTCATAGCATTGAATTCTGGAAGCAGAGATGCTGATTCCAATGGCACTGGTGCAGAGTATCAACTCCCAGAGGCATTCTGGGAACCAAGGGACATTTGAACAGCTCACCCCGCACCCCCAACACTAAATACTCAAGTAAATGAGGTTAAGTAAAGTTTAACAGAAATTTACAATGAAATCTAGATAAGATAGAAATGACCAAATAGGACAGGTAAGGTATACGAAGCAAACAATTAAAAATGATAAAATGTGCATTCACCTACAGGAATAATAATCTTTATTAATCTTTGAGAGAAATTAATCTCAAATTCTCAAAGTCCACAAGTCTTAAAAAGTGTCTAACAAGTGGACAGCCTGTTAGGAAAAAGAATGCCTTACCTAGGTTTCAAAAATGAAGTTTTTAAGAATCTCTTTTGTTCGCCTGCAGATCAGCAATTCAGCAAAACTGAGAAGCAAAAATCCCGAGGTGGACCTGGATTTTAATATGCTATTACCTGGTCCAATTTCAAAAGCTTACTAAGTACACTAGCAAATATAGCAATGTTTCCAAAAGGTTGTATTCTAATTAATATGCCTATTTTTAACCTTGTCCTACACTAGCTCTAACTGGCATAAAACTACTAAATAAATGCTAAGCAACCTTTAGCTAACTTCTTTTGACCCATCCTTCTTGAGCCTTCAAAACTTCTCGCCTACAACATTCTCACACTTGCTCATTTCCTTTGCTTATTCTTCTCTAACCCAAACTTTTCTGAAGTAAATACAAGCAAACACTCTACCTGCTAGGGCTGTGCGAAGCTTCGGTAGCCTATTCGATTTGGAGGAGGTTTGGCCCAATTCGGCGGCCAAAATTCTGAATCCGAATCGAACTGGGAGACCCATTAATCTCTCCGAATTGAATCGGAAGCCTCTATAGGTTCATAGATGCAGGGTCAGAGGGGACCTGAGCAGATCATCAAGTCCAACCCCTGCCCTGGGCAGGAATGGATACTGGGCTCATATGAACCCTGGTAAGTTTAAGCTCATATGACCCCAGCTAGGTAGTTATCAAGCCTCCTTTTGAAGACCCCTAAGGTAGGATCCAGCACCACTTCCCTTGGAAGCTGGTTCCAGATCCTGGCCGCCCAGACTGCGAAGTAGTGCTTCCTGATGTCTAGCCTGAATCTACTCTCAATCAACTTTGGTCGATACTCTCAATCGACCTTGTGGCTGCCTATAAGTTCATCACAGGGGCACAGAAGGGAATTGGTGAGGTTTTATTCACCAAGGCGCCCCCGGGGGTTACAAGAAATAATGGCCACAAGCTAGCAGAGAGCAGATTTAGACTAGACATTAGGAAGAACTTCTTCACAGTTAGAGTGGCCAAGGTCTGGAATGGGCTCCCAAGGGAGGTGGTGCTCTCCCCTACCCGGAGGGTCTTCAAGAGGAGGTTAGATAGGCATCTGGCTAGGGTCATCTAAACCCAGCACTCTTCCCTGCCTATGCAGGGGGTCGGACTCGATGATCTATTGAGGTCCCTTCTGACCCTAACATCTATGAATCTATGAACTTGTGTCCATTATTCCTTGTTACTCCGGGAGGAGCTCGGGGGAACAGGGTCTCACCCATTCCCCTCTGGTCCCCCCTAGCAAGTTTATAGACTGCCACTAGATCCCCTCTCAGCCTTCTCTTGTGAAGGCTAAACAGGTTCAGGCCCTGTAGCCTCTCCTCGTAGGGCCTGCCCTGCTGCCCCCTGATCATGCAAGTGGCCCTCCTCTGGACCCTCTCGATGCTGTCCACATCCCTCCTGAAGTGCGGCGCCCAGAACTGGATGCAGTACTCCAACTGTGGCCTGACCAATGTCGCATAGAGGGGGAGGATCACCTCCTTGGACCTGCTCGTGATGCATCTGATAATACATGACAAGGTGCGGTTAGCCTTGCTGACCGCATCCTCACATTGGCAGCCCATGTTCATTTTAGAATCAATAATGACTCCAAAATTTCTTTCTGCCATTGTGCTTTCAAGAAGGGAGTTCCCAGCCTATAGATATGCTGCTGGTTCTTCCTACCCAAGTGCACTACTCTGCACTTGTCAGTATTAAATCCCATCCTATTCACATTTGCCCACCCCTGTAACCTGTCTAGGTCCATCTGTATCCTGTCCCTCCCTTCTAGCCTGCTCACCTTGCCCCAAATCTTAGTGTTGTCAGTGAATTTGAACAGGGTGATTTTCACCCCCTCGTCCAAGTTGCTGATAAAGAAATTGAAAAGTATTGGCCTGAGGACCGAACTCTGAGGGACTCCACTGCTCACCTCTCTCCAGGTCGCATATGAGCCATCCACCACTATTCTCTGGGTACGGCCCCCTAGCCAGTTTGCAACCCATCTGACTGTGTAGGCATCAGTGCCATAGTCACCTAGCTTTTTAATGAAAATGGGGTGGGAAACAGTGTCAAAGGCCTTCCTGAAGTCCAGAAAGATTATATCCACTGTGACACCTGCGTCCAATGATTTTGTGACCTGATTGTAGAAGGCAATCAGGTTGGTCTGGACCTGCCCTTAATGAATCTATGCTGGTTGCCCTTGAGCATCCTCCCCCCCACTGGTCCCTCACAGATGTGCTCATGGATCATTTCCTCAAAGAGCTTCCCCAGGACCGAAATAAGACTAACAGGTCTAGAGTTGCCTGGGTCCTCCCTCCTCCCTGTTTTGAAAATGGGGACCACACTGGCCTTCTTCCAGTCTTCTGACACCTGGCCAGAGCACCATGAGTGCTTGTAAAGCCATGCCAGGGGCCCCGCAATGACCCCTACCAATTCCCTCAGCACCCTAGGGTGGAGAGCGTCTGGACCTGCTGATCTGAACATGTCCAGCCCCTCCAGAAGTTCCCTAACTCGGTCCTCCCTGACCCTAGGCTTGGCAGAGTCACTCCTGAGTCCGTCCTGAATCACGGTGGGGAAGATGTCCCGGTCCCTGCTCTGAAAAATGGAAGCAAAGAATTTTTTTAAAAGGTCTGCTTTTTCATCTGGTGCAACCACCAGATTGCCAAGCATATCCTGCAGGGGCCCCATGTTGCCTGGTGCCTTCTTTTACTCCCTATGTATTTAAAAAATAACTTTTTGTTGTCCTTGATCCTTGTTGCTAGCCCTAGTTCTGTCTCCGCCTTAGCCTTTCTAACAGCCTCCCTACAGACTTGCGCTATGGAGGTATAATCCTCTTTGGTGATAGCCCCCCGCTTCCACTGGATGTTCGCCTCCTTTTTGGCTTTCATACATTCCTGAGTGCCTTCGGTGAGTCAAGGGGGCTTTTGAGCACTCTTGCCCCCTTTGACTCGCATTGGGACTGTCACCCCTTGGGCTCGGAGGATCGTCTCCTTAAGGAATGGCCACACGCCTTGGACACCTAGTTCCCCATCTCTCCGGGACCACAATGCCAATCTTCTCAACTTGTTGAAGTCAGCCCTCCTGAAGTCCAGGACTACTGCCTTGCTGCAGGCCCTTGACACCCTGTGCTGGATAGTGAATTCCAGTAGGTGATGATCGCTATCGCCCAGGTGGTTGAGAATCTGGAGTCCCCTCACCAAGTCATCACATGTGGCCAGGACCAGGTCCAGCAGGGCATTCCCCCTGGTGGGACTATGCACCTCCTGGGTTAGGTGGAGGTCTTGCATCTCAACAAGGAACCTATGTGAGCAGTCAGACCTGGCTGACTCAAATCAATTCAGAGAGATTCGGAGATTCATCCAGAGACTCTATAGGCAGTGCTGGTGGGAGCAGCTGGGGGAGCAGCCTATGAGCCCCGGTTTGAGCCTGGAGCCCTGGGAGAATCTGTGGCTCATCCGCTGCTCCCCCGGCTGCCCCCCCGCTGGCGTGAGGCAGGCAGTGCTGGCAGCCTTGGGAGAAGCTGTGAAGGCTGGGGGGAATGATCGGGGAGCTGGGGGATTGAACCAGGAGCTGGGGGAAGACTCTGTTCATTCCCCCAGCCCCCCAATCGTTCCCCCAGCTTTTCTTTTTTAAAGACATTTTTCGTGTTCCAAGCCAAATCAGCCAAATCCATGAGTCAGTCCAGAACCATAAGTTGCCAGCTCCCCAATCATTTCCACCTAGCCCCCATGGCTTCTCCTGGGGCTGCTGCCTCAAGCCACGGCTTGTCT